AAATACCCTAAAAAATCCTTAGTTCAAATATTCCAGGCATAAATATTACCGAGTTTAGATTTGTTCTTACATATATTATATTCTTGATTTCTCTCCAAAGGCGTAAGGAAAATATTTTTAATGTTAGAATTTTTAACTTTAATTATTGTAGTAGGATTCAGGAAAAATATGGAGTAGGTTCAAGAGGGTTACATGGGCTTACGGGTTTTAAAAAATAATATTTTATTGTCTTATTCAATTCTAAAACACCTCCAGAATTTTGTTCTAAATTTTCAAGTTGATCCAAGTAATAATTTGAGATACAACCTCGAGAACTTGTGCGCTCGATGCCAGCTATATTAAGAGCGCCGTCTTTCAACGCGTTTTTCTCGAAACTGCGTTTTTGAAGTCGGTTGGTAAGATTTCTTGAGAGCTACTCGATCGTCATGAAATTTCACACAATTCTTAATTGGACGAAGGATATATTTTTCGATCACAATTATTTGAAAAGAAATGTCGCGATATTTTCCTGAAATTGTTATTTTTATGTAAAAATGTCTGCCAAAAATCCAATTTTCTGTTTTTTTCTTCGTCCAAGTTCTAAGTTAAAATTTTAACTGTAACACGTACTTTAGCACCATAGATGATCCTGTAAGAAGTTATCCTGCCAACATGGGCGCATTTATTTTCCGAAGAGCCACCGAAAATCGCGTCGCAATGGCCGTGTTTAAAATATATTTTTTAAAAAATTTCAGAATTTCTTTGTTAAACACACTATTAACAAAGAAATTCTGAAATTAAAGTGTTAAACACACTATTAACAAAGAAATTCTGAAATTTTTTAAAAAATATATTTTAAACACGGCCATTGTTTGTAACAATAAAATATTCCTATGAAATATTTAATTTTTTACATGTGAAAAAAAGTTGTGGTATAAACGCTGGTTTTTAACCGAGGAAGCACATGTAACCCAATAATATTTGTTTTCAGACACAGTTCTCATTTACTAATTACCAATAAGCTAAAAAAAATTTAGTATTTATTTTTGGTCTTAAGATTTATATGCAATTTATCGCTTCAAAAATATACTATATTTTTATAATTTTTCCAGATTTTGCCTGCAAATACATGGAAGTGAATTGTGCTAAGCTTGGATGAGCCTTCATAAAAATATATTCCACAGTTATAAAAAAGTAAGTATTTAGCACTAATACACACTTATATACCATATAGACACATATGCTGTCCATTATTTCCCAATACACATAGTTTTTTTTTTCTTTTTGCCACTATAAAACCGTACAAGCGCCTTTCGTGTTAGTTGCAACTTTTTGCGATTCTTGTCGCTACGATAAGTGCATTTGTTCGATACATTCTCACCACATAAGAGTATATGGATTTTGTCGTGCGCCGCCACACCACTGACTGCAAGTATAACCACGGCTAGTTGCTAGCGCAAATACTTTGAGTTGCCTGCCATAAAATAATAATAAACTAACCGAATTTACGGAGAAAAGTGGCAGCGTGGAAAAGCAAAAATCTGCAAAAAACATATTTTTTATAAAATTTAAGTTCGCTAAGTTCGTTATTTCTCGTTGCTTTTATGACCGAATCGCCGGCGCCGTCATATGCCACACAGCAGTGGCAGGAAGCAAATGGCGGTTGGACAGTTAAATCGGTTATGTTGCCGTTGCCTCTTTGTCGCTGCAGTGGCAAAGTGGGCGTGGGTGCATGATGGTGTGGCAGAAGTAAACTTACTTTAACAAGTTTTATTCCGTTTTGCGCTTCATTTTTACATACTTGCATTTGACCAAGTTTCGCTGGAACTTCTACAGTTTTACTATTTTCCATTTACGTCAATATTTTCTTGCGACTTTTCTACTTTTCTCTCCACTAAGTCCGTAATAATTTCGATCGTTCGTTTTAGGTTTCTTATTATTTCTTATATTTCTTTGCGCTTCTGTGCCGCACTGTTGTGTTGGTCATTGGTCTGTCGATTGAAGAGCCAAGCATTTGTGCGATTGAGTCGAGTGTTTGTTGCTTTTTGTGTTGTTGCTGCTGCTGCAAGTCAAGTGTGCGAGCAATGGTTAAGTGGGAGGTCCTGCTTGTCAATGTGTGTTTTAATTCAATTTTTTGCACTTTTCCTGCCAGGAAAAGTTTTATTTATTTATTGGTTTACGGTCGAGGGCAAGAAACGCAGTTGAAATTATGCTAATATTGAAAAATTGTATTTATTTGTATGGGAAATGATTGAAGTTGCATTGATTTGCAATAAAATAAATTAAATTTCAACTATTACTACAGACTATGTCTTCACGGAGAGTTCGTTTGTAAGAAAATTTGCTTAATATTGAATGTTTTTAGTTCTGACTTTAATGCCTTTGGGTCGACTCTCCTTCGATTTAGTATTCAGTAAAATAACGTTTTTCGATAAGAATTTAGATGCCTTAAAAACTGCTTTGATAATAAACTCGTTGCTTTGAAGACTCAACTCACTTAATAGTAATTGGCTTTTTGTTAAGACTTTTAAAAGTTCAATCGATAAAACAACTGTTATAAATCGGTTGATTATATAAGAATAGTAAATAGATTGAATTAAGGTTTTTTATTGACCTCTTTGCTATACTCGTAAGTCGGTGCGTAAAGATGAACCTCGAACGCAACTATCACAACGAGTTATACTCAGTGACAGTCAAGCGGCAGTTAAAGCGGTCTCTGCGTACGAGATTAAATCGTTTTTGGTGCAGCAGTGTATAAAATGACATAACCAACACCAACATTATAGATCACGCACCTTTCATTGCGGTTAGTCTTTATACCATAAAGGTGATGCACCGCAAGGACGAAGGAGTGGGCACAGCAGTCTGCAAGGGCAGGATAGAAGCTCTTAGATCCATGTTTCCAAACAGGAATCGCATCGCCTCAATGCATCTAGCAGTATTGCAATTTATCAATGTGCTTTGGCTAAGTGAGTCGTTGTGACTTAGGAGAGAGCACAATAGACCTTTGGTCACGGTGCAATCCTYATTTATTTATCAAACCTATCTAATGTTTCTAAATGAAAACATTTTGACGAGAGAGCAGAGCTCATTACATTACGATTGGGTAAAATTTTGTCTCTTTCGCTTTGCTCTGTGAAAAGTTGGCGAGACCAATCTAATATAATACTAGAGATTAGGCAAATAAATACTATACAGAGTCAAAAATAAGTTTTGATTTCATAGCAGCAACTTGACTTGGATCTTCTATGAAATCAAAACCTAGTATAATCTATTTGACTAGCAAATGAAGAGGTTAAGGATGAAGAATGAAAATAATTATTATACCTTAATATCAATCGCCCTAGTTTTCAGTGAATATACTAATCGAAATCTTAAAAGTTTTGGGCTCTAACATAAGCTCTAATTAACTTCTTATAATTTATTTCATTCTATAAAAAGATATTATACTTTTCTGTAAAGAAGAAGAATTTCTTCCATTTAATACTTAACAGTTAATGAGCAGCAGACTTTGTCACACATTCTTGCCTTTCAATTTTGAACGTTCTTTCTATTTAAACTTTTGGTGTAACCAAAGGCGCTGGTTTGCATATTAATACACAAAAGTTAGTCAAAAACGGCAAACTAAAGATGCCGCCAGTAACTGCTAGTGAAGTGGAAAGTCGCGTACCAATACGGCAGTTTTGCAGACCAAGTGGCATGTGGCAAGCAAGCGCTTAGTATCGAAATTAGCACGAGCGCGCTGTTAAGTAAGTTTCGTTGAACTCACATTAGTGAATTTTCGAAACGCGAATATGACACTTTTGCAGAAGTTAGTGCAGAGTTCAGAGCTCAGAGCGAGTTCAAGCGGCGTATTGAGGTAGCTGATATAAATAAATGTCACGTTTAATGCATGCGACAAAATGTGCGCTCGAGTTTCGGTAGTCAATGTGGGTAAATTGGGGAATTGTGCGCAAGACGAAGTTAAAGTTAGCTGCAGGTCTTTGAACTTGACAAGCAATTTCGATTATGTCCTTAAGAGTACGAAAGTTTAGCGAAACTAAAATTATTTTGAGGAATATCTTATGTAAAAATTTTTTCACACGTAATCATTAGAGCACAAGCTGATGATTACCACATAATGTAATTATCAGTATATAAAGTAAAGTGTTTAATACAAAGTAATGATTACAGCAAAAAATAATGATTACAACAATGTATTGATTTCTACATAAAGTAATGAATACAACATAAAGTAATCATTAACGTAAGAAGTAATGATTACAGCAAAAAGTAATCTTTACAACGAAAAGTTATGATAACAAAATAAAGTAATTGTTACGGTAGAAGGTAATGATTACAGCAAAAAGTAATGATTACAGTATAAAGTAATTATTAAAGTAGAAAGTAATGATTACAATATAAAATAATGATTACAATACAAAGTAATGATTTAACATAATAGTAATCATTAAAATAAAGAATAATGAATACAATGTAAAGTAATGTATACAACATAAAGCAATGATTAAAATATGAAATTATGATTTAAGTAAAAAGTAAGGATTACAACATAAAATAATGATTACAATATAAAGTAATCATTACAGTAATTACAAAAACATAAGAAAGTTCATGACCACACATGTAAATGCATGCATGCCGTACACGAATGTGCTATAAATTGCTCTTTAATAAGCAGCGCCTCACAGTATGCAACAATTTTTGGCTGCTTTAAGCCATAACGCCGCTTTTAACTGGTATTGGTGGCGACGTCTAGAGCACAGCAAAACCACAAAGTTACCACAAGAAAGAGAAAAATTGAGAAAAACGGCGAAAAAAGTGCCCGGTGAACTTTCGTACGCCGCAAACATGCCACAAAGCAGCAAAGTATGCTTAGCACGGGCAGAATGTAGGAGCAAAAATTCAAAAAAAAAAAAAAAAAAAAAAAAAAAAAAAAAAAAAAAAAAAAAAAAAAAAAAAAAAAAAAAAAAAAAAAAAAAAAAAAGTCGAAAAAAGTACGCAAAGTCTGTGCAACTTACCATAAAAATTGCTGTACCCTTTAATGAACGGGCCTCAGTGCTGCGCTGGCTGCGAGGCGCGAATTTTCAGACACATATGTGTGTGCGTGGTTGTGTGTGGCAGCGAAGTGACTGGCGGCAGCGGCTGTTTTACACTTATTCGTTGCACTTATTGCTGCGCTACTTTTTTGTTGTTGTTTGTATGTATTACTTTTCGCCTACTTGCTGCCGCATAAACGAATTTATTTATTTGTTTGATTGCATGGAGTTATTTGCATGCCTCAATTTTCGCTGCCACTTGTCACAGCATATACACACATGCAGGTATGTTTGTGTGTGTGCGGTAGAATTCTTGCAAAATTCGTGTATGTTTGCTTGCAATATTGTCGTTGTGGCTGCAGTTGTTGTTTGTCATTCGATTGCCGCAAGCATAATTTTTATTTGCCTATTTTAACTTTTATTTTATTATTTACTTTTTGTTATTGCTGCTATTTTTCAGTTTTTCCACACTCGTTGTTAGTTTTTGCGCTTTGTTGTTTTAGTGCATATTTTTGTTGCTAAAAATATCATATATACTTGCCGTTATTTGCATATATGCACGCGTTGTTGTTGTTGTTTTGTTTATTTTTAATGCCGCATTGCATGCAAACACGCATGGAATTGGTTATTTGTTTTAATTTCAAAACTTTTTTGTTACATTTTTTTCTTTTACTTTTTGCTTTATGTGTCTACGGCCTTTTTTCACTGGTTTTCCGTATCAATCATGCATTCTTTGTAATTTTTTCGAAAATACTTTTTCGCTTTTATTTCATTGTGTTGCACTGTGTGAGCTAAAAATAAAAATAATGCAAAGAAAAATGTAATTACTTTTTTACTTGCTGAAAATAATTTAAACACATGCATGTGCATGTTTGTAATCGAAAAATTATGCATATTTCGTATTAACTGATATTGCGGAAAATTAATGGCACTACAATTAGTAGGCTTTAAATAATTTTAATAAAATACATAAATGCAAATTTGAGTATTTTCTGCACAATGTGTTTGTTGGAGCGTTTATTAACCCTTGACTTATTTCCAAGAGTCCGACTTGTGGTACAATTTAAAAATAAATAAAATTCGGTTCGTAAGCATCAAAACTTGTTTGTTTAGTGCAAGTTGTGTGCAAACAGTTGGAAGCGATTTCGTTGCGCCAATTGATATGTCAGGGGTTCATACACCTTATCATTACGAAATCTGACTAAATTTTATTGAGACAATTAATATATAACCTCCCGATATTCCTTTTTATAAAAATTTTTCGTCCCGAATGCAGAAGATAGAGAGATTGTCACCTAAAATGCAAAACGACTTCTCATCAAAAAATCGAAATTGACATTTTTATTGCTTACGACTGACTACATCATGTGACATAAATGTAGCATAAAATTTTAAGCTTCCGCTGTGAAATATAACCAATATATAACCACTATATAACTAATATATAACCACTTTATAACTAATATATAACCATTTTATAACCAAAATTCAAATTTTGTTTGAATATGAGTTGTTTCGCCTGTAAACTTATGAAGAGTGAAGTTACGTTATTTTGCATTTTAGATGACAATTTACTATACCTCAATTTCTTCAGCGAATTTATTGTTAAGCTCGCAAAATTCATATTTCATACAAATATTTAGTCGATCAGTCGCCTTCAAAAGGTTGTACAGCATTTAGTTCGCAGGCAAGAAAGCCTTGTGTTACTTTTACTGCGATTTAATTTGTACATAACCATTTATTAAAGACTACTTTTCTGGAGAAGATTTTTCAGTAACAGTGCGCAAACTTTGATTGATTCTAAAGCTTTTAAGATAGGTTTTGAATAATCATTGTCACTTAGGCATTGTATTGACTTCAACTTCATCTTTAGTCAGGGTCTTCTTGGCACTTTTTATTCCTTAAGATTTTAGTCCACTCAAAAAAAAAAAAAACAAATCTCTCACTCTCTATCCGATTACCAAACCCTGTCTTCATATTCAAAGCGGAAGCAGTAGATATAGAGAAGATATGGATATAGGGAAGGCAAAAGCGAGTTCGCCAAGTGGCCTATCAAAGAAGCTATGGTTCAAGTATGATAATCTTAATCAAAAGTACGTTAAATTACCCAAAATTAGAAATTAAGTGGAGTACATTTGACACTGTAGGGATTTATTGAACTTGTGAAACGCAATTTATGTCAGTTTGTAACAAACCCGAGCTTTGCTATACAAAATAACTTTTTTTTTGTTTGAAAATCGAAGCTGTAGATGTTTTCTTAGTATTATACTTAGAATTTTAACGTATCTTCCTTTCACCGTGGCCCAAATATGATATTATTAGAAAATTGTCCCGCCTTTAGACAATATCTGTCACAGCTGCGTTGGAGAAGGGTATAAGGAAACCATTTCGCACTTTCTCTGTGAATGTCCAACTCTAACACAAACCAGACACAGAAAACTTAAAGCCCAATAGTCAAAATTTGAATGGCTGTCCACAAAAAGGACAACGTCTATAAGTAGTTTCATTGAATGCATCAAAAATGGCATTATACCAGATTGGCAGAACTCCTACCTAACTGACAGCAAAAAAAAAAACATAAATATGCTGTCTTAGAACTGAAAATATCAACAATCTCTTACTAGGAGTGATTTCAAAGGATTTCCAAACCCTTATTTTCGTTTTATTATTTGTCTGAGTTCTTGAAATTCGACTTCTTTAAAAAAGCTAAATACTATATGTCAAAAATATTTGCGTTTTTCCCGAATAGTCTTTTATTTCTTGTCAAGAATCATAAGATCATACAAATGAAATAAAAATAATCACCTTGACGGCACACTTCAGTGCCCTCTAAAAATTTGCACTAAACTTTGCTGTCTTGGTGTTCGAAATTTAATTTGTGATGCCACAAACGAAAATCGAGTGAAAGAGGCAAAAGAACGCGCGAAAGACGTGAAAAAGAAATAGACAAAACCCTAAAAAAAAAAGAATGTGGTTTCAAACGAGTTTTTGCGGTCTGGATGCAGTGGTGAGCTATTGTTTGGTGTACTCATGCAATGGAGCAAAGCTACACGACAACAATAGCAACAAAAACAACAATATAGACATGTAACGTGTAGAGAGAGCTTAAGCTACAAGCCAATTGCGACAAAGGTATCCACTGGACGATTGGAGGCTGTGTGCAACAGACCACGAAACTGGTTTTTCCGCACAACGATTGCTTTGAAGGTTCGAGAGGAAGCAAGAAAAGTGGTAATTCTTGATGTTGCTGATGGATTGCGGTGGAGCGGGAGAAAGCAACCTGGCGAAGCAGTGTAAAGTTATGAAAATGGAAAAAATGAAATGAAATGTATGTATGGCGGGTATACACACACTCACATGCAATTCACATATATGTACATATATACAAATATATACGTGCATTTACGCGTGCACACAAAGCTTAGCTGTCACTGCGTCGCTTTTACGCCTTCGCTTTGAGCGCAATGCTGTTTAGTTGCGCTTGTTAAGCAGCTAACTTAGTTAGGCTTGATTCCCTTTATTGCATTTCAACTATTTTTTACTCTTACGCATTTTATTGCTGCACGAACACAAACATCAGACACATACACACATACATACAAACGTACATATTTATATGGTTTTGCGTTCAGTTGCAACAAACACTTGCTTTATTTCGTTGTTATTGTTCCCAGCTTCATATTTATATTTTTTTATTGACTTTTATTTTGTCTTTTATTTATTTTATTGACTTCTTTTTACTTATTTTATTTTCTTTTATTTTTATTAAATTTCTTATCTTTCTTCTTCTGATTTTTTAAATTCTTTCTTTTAATTTTTTATTATCAGCGTTGTTGCAAATTCTTGCCTTTTTCCTGCCTTGAGACCGGTTTGGCAAGGAAGCTTTACTCAGTCCTCAGACTGTGGCATATTGTTGTCGTGCAACTTCGCGTCCTAAACAAATATACTCATATACACATAGAGCAATGCTGTGAAAGCCAGCACACAGTCAGTTATTCAACCAGTCAGCCGAGTAAGTGAGTTGACTGGCAAGCAGGCAGCAGCAAGTCTCTGCAACGCGTCCAGCTGCGCGTCCTCCAATTTATGTTACTTTTGGGATTTATGATTGCCGATTTTTGTTGTTTGTATTGCCACACTAAATGGTGTTACTTGCGGTTGAAATTTTTCTTTCATTTTTTATGCTTTTGTTTCGTTTTGCTTTGCCATTTCATTTGTACATTTTGGCGTGGATTTTATCGGTCTTTGCTGTTACTTTAATCGCAATATATGTGTGTGTGTGTGTGGGTGTGCATCTTTAAAGGCTTTCCTTCTTCTTCTTGGCTATCAAATTAAAAATTTCTCGCAAAACTCTTTTGTCTGTTAAATTATTTTTTTATTTTTTTTTCAAAACAAACTAAATTTGGTTTTTATTGCTTGCTGATAATAAGTATGCTCCTGTAGAGCTAGAAAAGAGTTGCAGCTTACGAATATATTGACCTTTGCGGTTAGGTATTTACGGTTTGCTCAAACAGGTTCATCCTAAACATGCAACATTGCTCAATACTTTTATTTGTACTACAAGAATATAAGCATTTGATAGGCTTAGAGAGAGCTACAAGGCCGCTTAGACGTAATTGAGCAGATCCCTAAAGAAATTGTAATAAAACACTACAAAATATTCGGCTGGATATTAGACCAAACGAATTTATTCAATAGGTTGCGTTATAACTTCGAAAAATACCTAAATTTAGCTTTAATCTGTCGGAAAAGAATGGAGAACAAAAGTCGATTTTGCCGTATCGTGTTATATTAAAAAAATTTTATTTAATTAATTTTTCGGACTTTCAGTCGGACTTTCATTGAAAAAGCTTGCTCCAATATTAGGAATTAAATAGAGTATATTTCACACAGTAGCAATTTCTTGAACTTGTGAAACAAAATCAAAACAAATTATTGAACTTGTGAAACGGAATCAAAACAATTTATTGAACTTGTGAAACGCCATTTAAAATATTATAACAGTAATAACAAAGCTCTGTGCTTTTAATTTTTATACAAAATAAATGTTTGCTTGAAAATCGAAGCAATACATTTTTTTTCATCTGATTATACTTAGAATGTTAACATTTCCTCCTTTAACTGTGAAGACATTGTAGGTTTCTTAAGAATTCTTAGTATACTTTTAGGACCAAAATGCCTTCAGTGTGTGAGAGTGCGCTTGTTTGCTACAAAAATACTTACAATTTTTCAAAATAATTTACGCAAACTTATAAAAAACTATAAATATCAGCACTAAATGCTAAAAATATAATTTATAAATGCTTAAAGCGTTAATAGTAATTTCCGCATTGCCCACAGTAAAGCGCTTGACAGCATACTCCTTCAGCACTTTGTCTGCGGACATCAGTGTGCTTCATTGTGCCTTGCTGTGCAAAGTCCTTG